AGCAAAAATGAATAAATAAATAAAATTATTTTAAAATAGTCTATCTCATCTTTACCTCTTCCTTAAAAAATTTCTATATTTTGTGTTTTATAAATGCATGCGATTTTTTACTAGAGTAGTATATATATGTATAAAATAATATGATTTAGACATAAATAAACATACTGCAGGGCATACGCTGAAAACTTCACTGATATGGGAACAACAGTTTGAAGGCCAGTAGAATAGAGAGCTGCAGAATCTCCATTCTTTGGGCATTCCGTATCATCAAAATAATACTATTTACCCTGAAATAAAGAAGTGGTTGAACATTAAAGGAAAAAAAAAAGGAATAATATCAGATACATGTAACAATGTGGATGAATTTAAAAACCAGACACAACAGAGTATTACCCTATAACTAATTTAAAAAAACAAACAAAACTAATCTGTGGAGATCAAAGTCAGACCAATGGTTGCCTGCGGGAGAGGAAGCCCCTGGGAGGGGCTGGGCTGATGGACACTTTGTGTCCTGACTGTGGTGGTGGTTCCCCCGGCCGGCACTCAGGGGTTTATTAGGAAAACCCTCACCGTGCTGGTCAAGCAAAGCACCAGATGGGCCACATTTGACCAAACTACCAGTTTGTGTCCTCACATCAGTCACTGTAGACTTTGCTTTTCTCATACAACTTCCAATTGAGATACGATTCACGTACCATAAAACCCACCCTTTTAAAGCGTACAGTCCTGTGTGTTTTAGTATATCATGAAGTTGTGAAACCATCACCATAGGAACCTTTCAGCACCCCGAAGAGAACCCCAGCCCCGTCTCCCCTGCATTGCTGAGTTCCACATCCTTGGTACCTGTTTGGTGCCTGTGAGCTCTTGTTAGCAGAGAAGTGGAAGGTGCAAAAAGATTTAAGAAAACTGCATGGCCCAATAATATAAAATCGAGAACATTGTGCCCGTTAGTTTACTTTTTCCTCCATGAATGGGGAAAAGAGTGCTGTGGAGGCAGAGAGCTCCCTGGGAATGAGTGGGGTATGGCCCTGGGCTTGTGGCGCTCAAGATGAGGATGGGGGTGGGGGTGGGAGGGAGGGAGGGACTGTGCCTTTCCCAAGGTGGACGACTGGGGGGTGGGGGGAAGGAGCCAGCTAAGTGCCTCAGGTTGATCTAGAACAGTGGTTCTCAACCTTCCTAATGCCGCGACCCTTTAATACAGTTCCTCATGTTGTGGTGACCCCCAATTTCATTGTTACAAGTTGAACATAATTAAAGCATAGTGATTAATCACAAAAACAATATGTAATTATATATGTGTTTTCTGATGGTCTTTGGCGACCCCTGTGAAAGGGTCATTCGACCCCCAAAGGGGTTGTGACCCACAGGTTGAGAACCCCTGATCTAGAAGGAAGTGGAGGGGTCTTGGGAGGGAGGCGGAGGCCCCCTGGGGGAGGTGGCTTTGGGACTAGGCCAATTATTTCTCATCATTCTTTTGAGAAATTTACCGTTTGCAAAGAGTGTTTATAGACATTATGTCCTTGGACGTTCAGGACCTGGCAAGACAGGTGGCTTCACCTCCATTTTATAGCGATGAGGAAACAGGCTCAGAGAGGGAAAGGGTCCCCTAAAGGTGTCATAAAAAAGCAGTGACTAAATCTGGACCTGACCCGACGCTGTCTGCCTCTGTGCTCACTGCTTTTTTCCTGACCACATGGCATAGGCGAGAGGATGCCTGGCGGGGAGATTTGCAGGAGCCAAGACGTGGAGGGAGCAGGGCCGGGGTTGGGGAGACACGTGGCAGTGGCCTGTGCCACCAGGGCGGCACCGTGGACTGGCCGCAGTGGAGACTGGCACTGGGTGGGCAGTGACTCTTGGGTGGGGATCACTTGGATAATTAGTCTGAGGAGTTACTGTGTGACTCACCTCTCTTGGGCTGATTGAAGGGAGCTGGGACACTCACCTCAGTGGCAAGGAGGGACACTGATTGATGACAGGGCCTGGAGGTCTGCAGAACTTAAGTTCTTCTTGGTTTGAAAACAGCCCTTGTCCTGGCTGAGGGCTCTACGGGCCCCCAGGGTCCAGGGCTGGCCCTTACGTTCTCATTCAGGGCAAGGCCCTGAGTCGACTCCCACCCGCAGAGAGCAGGCCTGATCGGAAGTAGCAGGCAAGGCTTCAGGGAAGAGGGGATTCATAGGGGATGGTCCAACACTAACCCGCCCTGGTCAGTGAGGAGAAGGGGTCTAACCCCCACCCCACAGAGACCGTAGGAAGTGGAGACAGAGATGGGAATGGCCAGGGTGACTCATGGGTATGCCAACCTGTGGTCCTGGATGCTGCCAGCTGACCTGTCAGGGAACGGGCCAGCCTCATGGTAAGTGAGTCAGGCGCTGTGGAGTCAGACAAGGTGACACAGCACAGATAAATCATAAACACAGTTGTGAAGGAAACAACCGTGGGAGGGAGGTGCCGTGGGCAGGGGAGTATCTCTGAGACCACCTTGTTAAACAGATACTGGAACAGTGAGAAGGAACCCACTGCATGCAGGTGGGAGCAGGTGGGATAGAGAGTGTGCCAGGCAGTGGGAACAGTGTGTGCAAGGGCCCTGAGGTGGGAAGGACCTTCGTATACTTATGGGATGGCCAGAGGGAATGCCGTAACTCAACCTGAGGGATGTTGCAAGGGCTAGAGGAGATTTCGTGCAGGAGTACACACACCTACACCTCGCCCGGCACAAGGCAGACTCTCAAAGGGTGCTTTTCAACTGTGGTCCTCTGCTCTTCCTCTTCCTGAAGGGTCACAGAGATGAGGAGGAGTCAACAAGAGAACTGGCTTCTGTCTGAATTTAAAAATATTTTAAGCCCTGGCTGGGTGGCTCAGGTGGTTGGAGTGTCGTCCCGGCTTGCTGGTTCCATTCTCAGTCAGGGTACATACCTAGGTTTCAAGTTCTCACATCGATGTTTCTCTCTCTCTCTCTCCTTTCTTCTCTCTCTAAAAATCAATAAAAACATATCCTTGGCTGAGGATTAAAATAAAGAAATAAAAATATAATATTTGAATTGAAAGTTAGCACATGTCCTGGTTGGGAAAATGAAATATTATAGAATACATGATCTGTTTAAGTTAATTTAGAAATTTAAAAAATATATGTATTTTATTGATTTTTTTTTTTTTTTACAGAGAGAAAGGGAGAGGGATAGAGAGTCAGAAACATCGATGAGAGAGAAACATCGATCAGCTGCCTCCTGCACACCCCCTACTGGAGATGTGCCTGCAACCAAGGTACATGCCCTTGACAGGAATCGAACCTGGGACCCTTCAGTTCGCAGGCTGAGGCTCTATCCACGGAGCCAAACTGGTCAGGGCTTAATTTAGAAATTTAATGCAGCTCCATGTTCACTTTTGGGGGAACTAAAAATATCAGTAACAATAGCTGATAATTACTATGTGCTCGGGATTGAGCTTGTGCCACAGTTGTCATTCTTACTCCCATTTCTATAGACTCAGACCCGAAGGCCTACAGACGGGGTAAGTAACTTGCTAAGGTCACAGGGCTGGTAAGTGTTGAACATGGAGGCCCCATCTCCAAAGCCATCACTCTTAACCTCTGCATGTGTATAGACACACAAACCAGTGTGAACATCAAGTTTACACTAAATAAGTCTCCATGAGGGGGAATCGGGACATGTTTGAATCTCCTTTAAAGAACCAATATTTAGATCCATATGGTATGGGCTCAAACTGAGGTTTATGAAAGGAAATGGAGACTTCATAAATAGATCAAGCAACATCAAAAGCCCCGCATAAAAGTAGACTTTACTAAATGAAGGATAAGGGAAGAATTACTTAATAAATGAGGACTACATAAGCAATAAAAACTGGTGATGCTGGGGGTGAGTTAAACCCATATTTTACTCCACACAGTAAACTTGGAGTGGATAACCATCAAAGAATTAAATATTAAGTGAAATTTTAGAAAACTAGCAGAAAATAAACTGTCAGATGGGTGGAAGAAAGCTCACTTTGTCAGCATTGAATCAGTAAAAAAAAAAATTACAAAGGACTAGAATGACAGATTGAACATTAAAATAAAACAACAATGAACAACGGCTGGGAAATACTTGCATCATTGATGATGCAGGAATAATAGCTATACTATAAAAAAATACTTAGTCACAGTTAGAAGAGGTTTGAGTCCCCAACAGATGAATGAATATGAACAGATGATTCACAGAAAGGGGAATATAGATAGTAAACGAATGAAAAACATTCATTTTTAAAGTCATATAAGAAATGCTCAAGTATTCTATTTTAAAGAACCAATATTTAAATCCATAAATTATAAGGAAAAATGAGATGGTACCCAATGGTTACAAATAGATATCAAGGTCCTTACACTTGTTCCTGGGAGGTGGCAGAATGAGTGGGGGCAGTTCTTTGGGAAAGTCCTTTGGCACTGAGGAACAAGACCACTCGGCCCTTTCTTAGCCTTTCACTTGGATATTTGGCTGCCAGGAACTTGTCCCAAGTGCAGAGTTAAAGCATCTATTAGCAAACAATTGTAAAGAACCCAAATATACCGTATTAGGAGACTGAGTGAATGGACGAGGATACCTGCACACTTTAAAAATGAATCAAAAGAAAAACGTGAGAGTAACGAAGAATAGAGAATGTGTAGTTGCAACAATGTAAACGCCTACTTGGATGGGATGTTTTGTAAGTGAAAGTTGCATTCTGTAGTAGTATTATGGATACTTTATTCTTTTTACATTGTCTTTCTCTCTGGTTGTCATGTTTTCTTTTCAGTGGTGGTAAAGTAAAATAAAATATCTGGACTTTGAGCAAGTTTGTCAAGTGGGGTAATATTTCCCAGCGCAGAGGAGAGGTCAGTGGGAAGTGGCCTGAGCCCGCGCCTGGCACCCAAGACCTCTTTTATGCGGTGGGCGCCTCCTCCTTCCTGAAAGGCAAAAGCCACCAGCACCCTTTCGGAGACTTCTCTTCCCTCCACCCAGGGCTCAGGAGTCCGGACATTCCTGGATCCGGCGGCGCTGGTGCTCCCTTCTGGAGGGAACTTTCCAGAGCAGGTGGGGATAGGGATGTCCGACCGGCACCTGCTCTCGCTGGGTAAGGGGCAAGCTTGGGGAACAACCACCCGTGGGCACCTCCGGTTTCGGGGCCGGTATGCAGCCACTTTGGAGCTTCTGTCCCGACCCGGGTCCTCGGCTCTCCTGCCCGAATTCGGCAGCCGTCTCGTGCCCCCTCGCTGAGGCCCCGAACGGCCGGAAAACTCGGATTTACAGGGCCCCTCCTGCGGAAGCCCGGAGACGGCGGGCGCGCCAAGGACCCGGGTGCGCCCAGGGCCCGAGTCTGACTTAGCAGACGGGGGCACTTGAGTGCCCTTTCAGGTCTCAAAGGACGCGCCAGGACGCAGACGGGGGCCGAGCGGGCGGACGCAGCCCTCTCCAGCGGCGACACGCGCTCATCTGGGATCGGGCCGCCGCTCCGTCCGTTCCCTTGCTAATGCCATCTTGCCGGAGGCGGTCACGTGCGGACGACAGCGGTGAGCTTCGCCCCGGCCCAGACGCCAGGACTGACTCGGGGACGTCAGTGGGTTTTCGGGGCTCCGTCCACAATCGAGGTGAGGCGCGGGGGACCCTTCCCTCGGGGGTTGGAGCAGGGACAGGGTGGGCGCTGGATCCCTAAGGGCGC